TGTACTCTTACTCAAGTATGGTTTTCAGGTACTCTTTACACCTCTGATGAATACATATAGCATACATCTTTCTACTGATACAGTAATTCTAATCACTTCTGTTAGGGGGTGTGGTTGTGGTATCTAGTGACATATATTGTACAGAAATATTTTAACTTATTAAATATTGTCACTTATTAGTTAGAAATGTACATATTAATTTCGTAGTGATTTTTTCTATTAAAATCAAAATGGTCTTTATGCGACAAGCAAAAAAACAGACACATGCAGGGAAAGGGGGGAGGTGCTTGAGAACATGCCCCCTTTCCCCGATGGATTGAGGTTACGTTGGCAAAATTTACCCCCTGCCCCTCCAGCTCGAGCTCCTGTCAGCTTCTTATTGACTGGATCCATGCCACCTTAAATAAGGGGTGCTGTTTCCAGAGAATCCTGTAGAGGCCACTGTGTATGCTGAATCGAAGGAACCGAGAATGTTTTCAGCATTTCATTTTACTAAGAAAATGGTAATAATTAAAATGGTTTTGGTCACACGGCTATTGGCTCTGAAATTACACGCAGCCACACACACAGACCATAACAACATGAGTAGGTCTGTATTCGGGTTATTAAGAGCACATGAAAATAACTGGGTCATCGCATGTAAACAAGGTTATATGCCAAAAGATAACTTTGTGAGTTAGGAAACTGCATGTTCCTCATCTCCACTGTATGGGCCATAGAGTATCGGTAAGAGTCTGGCGACATATAATGTGCAATTAAATTCGGAATCTGAGTTTATGCTGTGTTTGATTTCTAAGATATTATTGCTACTATTATTCTTCTGTTACTTGAAATGTTATTTAATGTTTAAAATAAGTTTAATATTTTCCTCACAACTTGCTGTGTCCCTTTAAGTATTCACCCACGTGCTTTTGTATACATCACATGATAACTCTTACTTCCAAATGCTTCACTCAGCAACATCTGAAAAACTTTAAACACAAAAGGCCTGGACTCAGGAATGGAATCGAGATCCGCCCTCCATCCGCTCACCTGTATAAAAGCCGCATCCATGCACGAGTATTGCTGCTATGCGCCTTACCAAGCACTCTCTCACCCTTGTGTCTCCCACTGTGTCCATGCTCCAGCCCTGTCTACGCCTGCCCTGCCTTGGCTGCTCCTGCCTTGCCTGTGTCTGTCCTGGCTGCACCTGCCCTGGCTGTTCCTGCCTTGCCTGCACCTGCCTTTGCTGCTCCTGCCCTGCCCTGCCCGACTCTGCCCCATTTACTCCATCTTGTCTGCTCCGCCTGCTGTTCCCATCCAAAGTCCAGTGCTTCATCATTGGACTGACTTGCCCAGCTCTCGACCCCTCTGGAACAGCTCTCTGGCTTACGATTCTAGCTTGCCGATTTGTAACCCGATCAATAAACCTTGTGGTCTCCTGCACCTGGGTCTCTTGAGTCTTGATCCTCAGACATGACATTGTAAGTCTTTTGGTTCAACACAAGTGATGACCTATTGGCTCTAATGACCTAAAAAAAACAGAACTTCCTCCTTGTGTATGTGCAAACATTTTGCACACATGACATCATTAAGCTTATGTTATGGGGAAAGTTTTTCTTGTATTTCCATAATACAAAAATACTGAACATCAAAGTATCTAGATAAAAATTACATCATCAAAAACGACAGGGGCTCCTGTGATGTGGCTGCCGGATGGCACCCCTCCGGAGCGCTCCTCTGCCCTTTTCTGGGTGGGGGCTGCAATTGTCCCTGCGGTGGTCCTCCTGGGGTTCCCGTGCCCTGGGGGGCCTCTGGATGTCTGCGGCCCGGGTCTCCTCCATGTCAGCTTCATATCCTGGGGGGGCGGGGCTGTGGCTCCCCACACACACTACTAGACATTTACATGGAGAGAAACCTTATGAACACCAGCACGCTGACACACACAGGTGTGCGGACAGGTGCTCACGGACGCGCGCTGTCTTGATCGGTTGTTGCTTCTGGGGTTGTGTTGTAATGCTGGTTGTGTGTGCTGTTCAACAACATTTAACATTTGCTTTTCGAAGTGATTTGTACAGATGTTGGTTGTTGTTTTCTCTCTTCAGCAGACATTGAAGCAGATTATCAGTTTTTTTTTTTTCTCTCTCTCCCTCTCTCTCTATCCCCCTTCTTCTCCTTTTTCCCCCCTCTCTCCCTCTCCTTCTCTTGAGGAAGGTAATAAAAATAAATAAATAAATAAATAGAAATAAAGCAGTCCTCCGCAGAGGGGTGGTGGTGGAGGGAATAAATAAAATTTAAAAAAAGCCATCAATTGCTTGTTAATGCATTTTTATATTTTGTATAATTTTGTTGCCATTCTTTTATTTTTATTCCTCATTTGATTCTTTTTTACTTTAATTCTATTTGTAGTTTTGTTGTATGGTGACATAAGGATTCACTTCAATTAAATGTGTTGTCCTCTGTGTTTATAATATAAGGACCAACTAAAACCAGTGAGGGAGGCTGACAGACAAAATACTGCACTAGGCTGCTAGCATCTCACCCCCTGACCATGTCTGCCGCCACTGGATCTGCTCCCATCCCGGTAACAACCAGCAGGGGTTAGTTGGGCGTAGGACGCTGTTGAAATATGATGCAGAAAGAGATCTAAAAGATGGAAGGGGACATTTACCAAAAATTTACGGAAGCTACTATGCTCCAGTAGCACAATGTCAGGGAACCCCTTCGATTCAACCCAGGTGGGCGACAAGATCCCATCTGAGGATTTCACCCAAAATGATGAACATTCTGCATTAACCCCCATCAATGCCACAGCCTGAGCCCTGTAGCCTCGACTGTAAGTCCAATTCCAGATACATCTTCTGCTCTAGCCACGGTTCATCCTACCCCTATGCACCCAGTTCCAGTTAAGGCTACAGCCCCCTCATCTTAGCTGGTTATGGCTCCAACACCCTCATTTACATCCCTTTCTATCGCTGTAGAAAAATTGAAAAGATTCTATCAGTTAAATTCCTCCCATGCGAGCAACTACTACACCATGTCCCATGACGACAGGTGCTTGGCCTGTTGCTAACGTCAACAGTTACGGAGGAATGGAGAAAACGAAACCAACGAAAATTAAACCAAGCCTCGTTATTTGTATGGCAATATTGAAGGTGGTCCTGTGACCCAGAAGCATAGAACGGGTGAAAATGAGATCATATTTCCCAGTGATATGCTGGACCAGCTGAGTGCCATCCTTGGGGTCCTGGAGATGGCTGTGGAGATGGTCAATATATCTGGTATAAAAATTGACATTTTCATAGATCCTGCAAATAGTTAGGAGAGTGAAGTACTTAGAAGATTAAGATTAAGATTAAGATAAGGTTAAGATAAGACAATATGACAAATACATTAATGTACATTTAGTTCGATAGCAATCGATGTTTCATAGTGCACTCTAACAGCTGCAGCAAGAGCCAGTAAACTACGTCTAAAAATGTTTTTTTTATGTTTTTATTATTATTAAGAGCTCGTTTGCATTTAGTTCGATAGTACAACCGTGTTTTATTGATTATTACTTATATGAAGTCTGTTTACAAATGTTTTTATAAGATTTTAATTAACAGAAATAGTTTACATTTAACTTGATAATATAACCAACATGTTTTATTAGATTAGAAATGTATATTCAGGTCGATAGTGACGTTTTCTTAACGGTATGATTTTACCTCAACAAATCCATATATTTAGCTCAAATGGCAATTATGTTTTATTCATTATATCTGTATTTCGCTCTATAGCAACATGTTTGCTGAACCGGCTTGATTTTCATAATTATTACCTTTATAAAATTACAATATTAGGGATTTTACTGCTTATATAAGCAGGCCTAATTATATTACGTGTAATCTACAAAAAAACATCTGCAAACGTATTTTATTGATGTGAACTCTTGCTGCCGAGGTAGGGGTGCACTATATGAATCATATCGTTATCAAGCGAAATATACATTAAAAAACTAATAATCTGGGGTTGTTCCCTGCCTTGCACCCATGGCTTCTGGGAAACACTCTGGAACCCCACAACTCTGAGAAGGATAAGCGGTTACAGGAAATGGAAGGATGGATTCTTGGAGCCTTTGATTTAGCACACAGAGTGCATTTCTCATTGATTCATATTTAAAGGCACAATATGAAACAAACCTCTGAATGGCACCATGAATGAAGTGAACTATTATTTGGTTTGCCAGTACTAGCTGCTTTATTTTTTAACTTCCAGAAAATTCTCACTCAAATGGAATGACAGACTAACAGATTTAAAGCAAAGGCATATTCTTGCCTTGTCTACTTGAACCACTTTGTCTCCCCCTTTTTTAACATTTCCAAAGGTGAACTAACAGGCAATATTGAATAGGTCCTCCAGACAAGCCAGAACACTCTCTCTCTGTGGATATGGAGATTTACAAGGTTTCTGGTTTCCTCCATATCTTTGACTGGTATCCTCGACACTGTTTAGCTCACACGTCATAATGCTGAAATATGTTTCCATGACTACCAAATCAAACAGAGTCAGATCAGTCTGGCATCCAACCCCTGTTTCAGGATCATCCGGAGAGCAGATGACATCCTCAGACCCTGAAACATCAAAGACATTTAAACAATTATTTGAAAGTCAGAGAATACACCAGGTGACTGATATTTTGACACAAAAAGAGCAGCATACCTTGATCCTGGACAGTACCATTCAGAGTACCATGATGCCACTCAGCTGCACTTGCCCTAGATTCGGCACATGTGGAAAGTGTTGAACTGGGTGGCATTTTTTCCTGGTCCATGGCATCAGATGCTAGAAGGTTAAAACAGAAAATGAAAACAATGCACAGTATAAGACAAATCTAAAGCCTACTTTAAGGGGAGGCCATTGACAAACATATTAATGTACCTATTTCATTTGTTCAGTGGGATGTCCATGGTGTCAATACAAGATAGTGATGGCAAAATGACAGTAAATCGTTCATTAAGCGCTAGATAATGCTTTCTGTTTAAAAAAAGGACACAAAGCATGCCTCAAAGCAAACCAAGAACGCCATCTAGTGAGGCAAAAAAAATAATAAAATAAAATACACCAGATGGTTCATGAAGCAACATATTTGCATTACTAGTACAAGCATCCCTGGGTGTCATTGGGCTGAACCCTAACCATAACCATATCTGAGCAATGTTTATCCTTTTGTGGAATCCGCAAGTCATTTCAACACATCAGTCACTACCCACCCTCTCTCACATTCAAAGATGAAACTTTGTCCTGCGCTGCATTCTATTGCCCCTCTAGTATGGAGAATCGTGTCCAAGACTGCGAACTGCTTTTATGAATTAAGTGTTGTACAAAAATGTATTGCTTGATACAGTAATCCAAATTAAATGTTAACTTTACCCGAATGTGATCGTGTTACTATCGGTGTACCATTTGCTTTCATTTACTCTTAGCCATGTTTGTTCGATACATTAGCGTCTTTGGATAAAAAGTCCCTACACAGTCAGCCGTCCAATTTTACGTGCACTTACCGTTACCAGTAGCGAACCTGTCCACTGCTCGAATCAGCAGATTTTTCTGCAAATGGAGACAGTCGCCAAGGCAGCCGCCAGTTCAAAAAAACAGCACAGAGACAGAAGGGAGTGTGAAAGCTCTTACAGGCTTCTGACGTCATGCTTAACGCATCTATGAGGACTCAGTGGTTTGAGAACAGGTTGGTGTGGGAGAGACTCACCCTGGCCCGGACCTCACACTGCCTCAGACGGCACTTCTGTCGGATCTTGTTGGGGCCCCCAAACCTAGTCATGTCCTTGCAGAAATCGCACTGCATGCAGTCCTCTGTGCGCCGGCAGGGTTCACACTTACCACACATATGACGCTTAATCTGCGGGACACAAAGAGGAAGAGACCTTGGAGCCCTGGGACAAATGCTGCAATGCAGGGCAGGGGTCGCACCCATTCCAACTTAAACATTTTAATGGATATAACTAACTAACTGAGAGGAAGAATCTGACTACTCTAAAGTACCCCTATGTGCATGTCATTTCCTCCATGTATATAAAAAAAAAAACAGTAAAAAATAAATTGTAGTATATTTCTGACCCGCCGGCTGATCTTAAAATTTGGTGCACCATGTTGCTTCTCCATCCTCACTTGTTTGGTCTCCTTCTTATGATTCTCCTTGGGATGGTACTTGATCTCCAAAGAGCCATCTTTGCCTATAAAGGGTATTGCTGCATTACCCACACACAGCTGTGATCACGCAACAGCAGAAATATCCCACATAGCTAAAGATGATCAATCGTAACATTAAAGGACACTCACTCTGACACTTCTCACAGAACCACTCCTGGATGACCTCCCCCATCTTCTCCGTGACATTAATGCAGTCACCATGAAACCACTCATTACAGCTGCCACATTCACTGCAGGATACAAGATACAGTGACCATTTCAGTATTTCCACTTCAACAAAGCATATACTCAAGGGTAATGACACAAAGCCAAGAAAGACCTGAGAAAATGGGCGTGTCAGTTCTTGATCATTATGGCAACACTCATAAAGACAGCACGTCACTAACAGTACTCACAGCATGAAGCAGTTGATGTCTGGCTTTCGGCAGATACAGTAGACAGGGGCAATCTCGCTGTTCTCACCATTCTCTCCATCCATGCCGCTCTCCGCCCCCAGCCCCTGGTCGAAGTTCGACACCTCACTATCCTGAAGATGAAGATATAGTCAGAGAAACTGCAGTAGCTGGTAGAGCTGCAAATTATGGCATCCATTCTGCAAATGTCACACATCCATCTGTCAAACATACACAATGTTTGTATCGTTTTCCGGAAGATGGAGCCGTAATATCCACCCACCCCAAACCCAAAACCACTGCCAGAGGAGTAGCCGGTTGAGGTCTCCTTACGTTTGTAATGTTATAAAACTCCTTTTTCATTTCACAATTAACATTATATCACGCATAAATCACAAAATTATTATTCTATTGAAAGTTAGGACAGGCTATATATTTTGTTACATACTACAACAACTGTAACGGTACAAGTATTCGTCACATAATGAAACAAATGAATACTTTTATTGGTACAGGTGGAACCTAAACTCCATGTTCAACTCGGATTACGGCTAATGCTGCTTAGTCAGTTAGTCATAAGCACTGGTTCTGCAACACTTAGGTTTCTCAATAATGTTCACCAGCACTGAAAAAGAGCAGTTAATAAGACCAAAACTAAAATAAACCACACACACCAAATGTAGACATTTATTATGTAAGCATTTAAAATAAATATCTTTAACTTGAGATAAATCTTAGGGGCATTACTTTACCACCTGAAATCTTTAAGAAGGTGGTTATACTTGTGGCACTTTAATGCCATAATAAAACCACAGCATCAATATTTTTTATTACATACATTACACATCAAAAATTAGGTTCACTTGGATACAGATGAAAACAAACTCATGGCAATAATGAATGTTAATATAGTTAGACATCTGAAACACATCATATTACAAAATACCATTTAAGCAAGGTAAAATTCATTTAGTTAAATTTTCTTCCCAAAATTTGCCCCTTGAACCCATTCAAAAATTGTACCACCATATATTGGTCTATATGATACCACATATAAAACAATTTTGGCTTTTCACTTATTAAAGGTTACTGTACGTCAGCGTTATGGACTAGATAGTAACACTATGGCACAGGGATGGATCAAAAGCTCGTCAGCAACAAACACTTGGGCATACTGTAAGTTTAAGACATTTACAAGAAGAAGGACAATTACGTAGTTCGTGAGGAAACACCGCCAGCCATTATAAATCAATCACAACTACATACAAACACTGAAAATCTCTCCGTTGTCGCTAAGAATGTTATTATAAGTTATTAATCTAGCAAACTTAATGTTTTTCCAGCTAATGCGGTGCGAAATAAAGGAATTCGTATCTATTAAGCTGGCGAAATATAACTGTCGGGATAATTATTTAGGCAGTCATTTCACACTGAAGCTCTTCAGTGCAGCGTTTCAATGACAATAAAGTACAGAAAACTGAACGAGCTAATATCACCCAGCCAATGCATAAGTGTATGACGTGCCTGTTACGGCACAACGACGTTAGCTACAACCACATACATTTTACACATAAAAGGAACATCTAAGTACTAAGATTACTAAATACATACCATAACTGGGAACTTCAGGAAATATTTTACGCAGCCTGGTGTGTGAAATCCTATCCAAGAACCGAATATAAGCAAAATGGGAAGAAGGGGCGTCTTCCACCGCACCAGGTACCGTACTTTTGGTACTTTCCTTTTTCCATTTCATTTTCTAATGTAGCGAACTAGTTCATAACATGCGATGTTAGTACTAACATCGCACATCCAGCCGTATGGTATCTAGAGCAGACATCCCCCGTACCTCTCCGGAATTTTCCGGAGTCCCCCGCGGGAACGCCCGGGGGAACTCCCTAACGCCCACTCTTTTTCTCCAAAGATTCTACATAAGCTCGAGGGTCCTTGCTCTCGCGGGCGCGAGCTGTCGCATTAAAAAACACAAATATCCAAGTATATAATTTGCGGGAGACAGGGGACCGCTATCAACACGCAGGAGACTACGAAACTTCCTGGAGAGGAGGAACGTCTGCTACAGCCCTGTTTGAAATATCCAAAATACCCGCGTTGTGACGTCATTCGGCGCCGGTACCAGTTGTTACGTCAGTGGAAAAATCAACAACTCGAAGTACTATACTTTCGGTACTTTCTTGAAGAAAGAAAAGCACGGTACCTGGAAAAGCACCCTAAATTATTTCATTCAAGAAAAAACATCAGTGGTTCAACAATAGAATTTACAGGGTTACACTTCCGTTTCCGGGTCTTATTTTTTCTAAAGCATTTTGGTTTGTTGTAAAAGGAATAGTTTCGTTGCATATTTATATGTGACTTGTTATGATTTCTTAGCATCCAGTATCACAATTAACAATTAAATTTTCAATGAAAAGCATCCTGTTATGCATATCCCTCCCTTTTGTCCTATGCTGCTTGGAATTGGCTTCAGTTCTTCTTCAGCCCTAAGAGGTTGGAAGATGGATGGATACATATAGCATGCATCTTTCAACTGATACAGTAATTCTAATAATTTCTGTTAGAGGGTGTGGTTTCGTATCTGGTGACATATACAGTACAACATTTGAATTTCACAAACTGCAACATTATCATATCACAAATTTTGTCACTTATTAGTTATATTAGTTATATATTTTGTGGTGATTTTTTTCAGTAAAATTAAAGTGAAAACAAAAATTAACTTTATGTGACAATCAAAAAACAGACACATGGGTGGGGGGGGGGGAGTGCCTGAGAGCCTGCCCCCTTTGCTCGACGGATTGGGTTAAGTGCTCCCACCCCCCATCCACAAAATGTATCCACCTGTCCTTTGAAAATTCTCTGCACGGCACTGCTGACAAATACTCGTAATTCACGCAAAATGTTCAACTTCTACATTGTTCTAAACTGCTGAAAACAATTTGCATGCTGTAAGCATGCCAAAGACTATAATATAGCAATATATAGTAGTAATACAGTAATATCCAGATGCTGTTGGACCCTGAACACCTCCTTCCATCTAATCTCTACACTCTTCCACCTCTTCCAATTCCTGTGTGAATTTTTTCAGTATATTCAGACTCACCTGATCTGCGTCTGTGGCTGTCCTTTCATGTGTAACCACAAAGTAACACTGCCTTAGTTTTGGTGCAATGTGTCTCAAAATGAAATCGAACCCAGATCATCACTTACTGTATATAAGTTTGAAAAAGATTCACTGCATTGTCTTTGAGTTATAGCTGCAGCAGCAGCAGTGGACCCAAAACCATATGTCTACCCCATCTCAAGTTAATTGAAGAATACAATTAACATGAGATATCCTAATATTTATATATAAACATTCCATCGCAACAAAATAAATGCAGATTTGAATCCCTCCCCTGATCTGTGTGTGAAGTTTCCATGTTCTTTTCTGTTGATCGGGCTTTTTGTGAGCGCTCCGGTTCTGTCGCCATGAGACCAAGGCGAAGCGGCGTTTCTAAATTGTCCTGTAGATGGAGCTAAACATTCGACATACAACGTGCAATTTGATTAAATAAACGTATTCTTAAACATTTTAGATGTTACTAAACATGAAAAATGTTTTATAGAGAACTACGAAATAGCCTACATGTAGTGCGCAAGATAGCCTATTTTACAAGGCTTTTTGCTTCTATGTGTCTGTAATTATCTTTCATTTTTATGTCAGTTGGGTGTGGGGTGCTATACCCCTTTGATGGGCTAGATGGTTACAAGTAGAAGTTCATCCAAGCAATTACTGCTGGATCGCAGCGAGAAACTGTGTGCCTCTGACAGGAATTCGGCGCAGTTTATTCTATACCGCTTCCCCTTGAATTTCACATTTCCACGGTCTAAGACTGGCTTTAATTACGCTACGGTAAGAAGTGTAGTTTTTTTTTTTATCTGAGAAGTCAAGTGTTTTTAGAATTGTATTTGTGTCACTTCATAACTCTCTTCTGCTAATACTACTAACCCATGCGAATCGTTTTGTCTGCATGTGCCATGAATTTGTAATATTTGCATTTGCTTTGCGCTGTTTGCATGGTTCTAAAAATCACGGCACATATTTTGGTGAATTTATCTACTGATAAACACATTGTCAATATAAAAGCACTTAATTCAATTTCGGACATTTACACGGAACGTTATGTAAATACCGCATATATTCTTCCTACGTAATACGGTATTTTATGTTTAATTGTTTTGATGACCTTCTTAAAGTGTGTGTTTTTGATTTCCCTGAATGACATAAAATTATTTAGTTTTGAAATGCTGGGGGAAAAAGGTCTGATGAGATGAGAGGAAGTTTTAGAGATACTTGATGTATCCACCTTTTTCCAAATGCATATTCTGGTCGCTGTCTCTTGATGTGAATTTTGATTAACTCTTAAATAGTATTAGGAGTCTTAGGAAAAACACAATTTGGCCCTCGCAGATGGGCAAAAGTAATGAGTGCATTTATACAAATGGTATACAGGAAAGGGCCTATGTATTTTCTCAACCATTGACAGGTGCATCTAAGATGAATGCCATAATCTCTTAACACATTCAACTGTGAAGGGGCTTCATTAACAAAAATAGGATGAGACATGGACCTTTTTTGATGGGCACCAAAAACAGCAGTTTAGATGAAAAGTGAGAAATGGTATCATAGCTCATTGCTCATTCACACTAAATTAGTCAATGTCATGTTAGCCAACAACAAACCCAATTAAGCGAAGGTAAAGGATAACCCTGAGCGATTAATCTTTCACTAGAGCCAGTACCTCAGTAAAAACTTTATCTGCAGCCCCTGACTGAAATGCTTATATAGTAGGTGATATTTCATTGACTGTTCATCTGTTTAAATAGTAGATTATATTTTATTGCCTGTGTTTCTGAGTGTAGTGAGGGGTGAGATCCTTCCTTTGGACATCCCAGGATCATATTACTGGACAAGCTAATGATGGACAAACATCTAGCACAATATTGTTCAAAAATGTTATTTTACTCTGTTCGATGAGAAAATAATATACCAAGAAATGAATTCTAGGCTCCAAGGCCTCCACATGACCCTGAATAGCATGAGTGGTAAGAAGGTGGATAGATGGATAGATACACTATATGAACAAAAGTAATGGTACATACCTCTAAATCATTGAATTCAGGTGTTTCATTCAGACCTATTGCCACAGGTGTATAAAATCAAACACTTAACCACACAATACTGGTTTACAAACATTTCAGAAAAATTTGATTGCTCCAAAGAGTTCAGTGAATTCAAACATGGTACTGTCATAGGATGCCCCCTTTGCAATATTCAGTTCATGAAATTTCTTCCCCGCTAGATATTCCAAAGTGAACTGTAAGTGGTATTATTACAAAGTGGAGGCATTTACAAACAGCAGAAGCTCAGCCACGAAGTGGCAGATCATGTAAAGTAACAGAGCGGGGTTGTTGAGTGCTGAGGTGCATAGTGCATAAAAGTAATCAATGCTCTGTTGACTCAATAACTGCAGAGTTCCAAATTTCTCTGGCGTTAACCCCAGTACAGAAACTGTGCACTGGGGCTTCATGGAATGGGCTTCCATGGCCGAACAGCTGCATTCAAACCTCACATCACCAAGTGTGATGCCAAGCGTCAGATGGAGTGGTGTAAAGCACGCTGCCACTGGACTCTGGAGCAGTGGAAACATGTTCTTTGGAGTGACGAATCACGCTTCTCTGTCTGGCAGTCTGATGGATGAGTCTGTATTTCGCAGATGCCAGGAGAATGTTACCTGCCCGCCTGCATTGTGCCAAATGTAGAGTTTGGTGGAGGAGGGATAATGGTATAGGGTTGTTTTTCAGGGGCTAGGCTAGGCCCTTTGGTTCCAGTGAAAGGAAATCTTAAAGCTTCAGCATACTCAGACATTCTGGGCAATTGTATGCATCCAACTTTGTGGGAACAGCTTGAGGAAAGACCTTTTCTGTTTTACTCAAGGCGAGGTCCACAGAGACTTTGTTGGGTGAGATTGGTGTGGAAGAACTTGACTGGCTATCAAAGAGCACTGACCTCAACCCCATCAAAAACCTTTGGGATTAACTAGGACAGAGATTGCAAGGCCTTCACGTCCAACATCAGTGCCTGACTTCACAAATGCTCTTCTGGAATGAGCAAGATCCAACAGACACACTCCAAAATCTTGTGGAAAGCCTCCCCAGAAGAGTGGCAGCTGTTATAGCTGAAAATAGGGACCAACTCTATACTGATACCTATGGATTTAGAATGGGACGTTATAAAGGTTCCTGTAGGTGTAATGGCCAGGTCACCTAAAACTTTTCTCCATATTCTCCTGAGACCCAACCCATTCATTTATGTCCATTGTAGTGGACATTTTGTTTTTGCATCTATCTTTTCACTGATGTAAGGAAACATATTTATTCCTGTTGTACACTAAAGAGGACATGTTGTGAAATTAAAAAAATATATATTTTTTTAAAAATCTAAATTGTAAGATGTCTTATTTTCCCCAAAGACAAATAACCTAAAATTGAAGGACACTTTTTTCCTTGGGTCTCAGGAGGATATAGTGTATATCAAAGTGCAGTCTGTTTTTTTTTCCCCATGTTGTAGAGTGACCAGATAATCCATGTCAGGGACACTATCAGCTACTTCAGGTTTTACACTGGTTTGTTTCCTTGATTGAAAATCTCATCCAACTGTTTCACATTAAGATCAGTGGCACATGCATGATTATAGGAGACTGACCTATCGGCATAAGGCAAGACCTCAGTGTTTAAGTGAAATTCAGGACCTTGTAATTGAAATGGTAGTTTACAAATCTTGTCCTGTCCTCCCTGACATGGATTATTTGGTCACCCTACAATGTTGTGCATGTTTCCCCTGGTTACTCCTCTCATTGTTCAGAACATGCAGTTATGCAAGTTTGTCTCTCTTCATTGCCCATACTCTGTCTTATATTTCCTGGGTAGGATTCAGGCTCACTGTAACCTACTGCTGGATAAGCAGCTATGGATGCTGGGTGGAAAGTGAGCATTTTATTTCATGAAGGGGTTATGCAGCCTTTCCCTTATTTAATCTCATTTCCCATCACAATTCTCTCATTCCCCAAAGACATTTATTTCTCAAGGGTTTGTGTGAAATGCATTCAGCCTCCTTAAATTTTAACATATTTATTTTGTTTCAAATTTCATATGTGATCTGATTAGTCACTCTCAGGACTACAAACTGGCAGAATGGAAGCAATTATCTTTTCTTTTTTTTAGTGTGTCAGATTTGTTTCAAAGTGACCTGTTACCCGTAATTCAATATTACTCTCTTCTCTTCTGTATACTGTACTCAGTAAACAGGAAAGTTCACAGACATAAAATGTATAATACGTCTGTTCTTTTCTGGTCAGAGTGCACAGCGGCTGTCTCAGCAGGAGACTGGAGTCATGGATGTACAGCTGGAGGCAGATACTGGAGACATGGGCCTGGATGGGCTTAATGAGCGTGGAAGCAGAGGGGACCACGACACACAGCCAGACCACAGCAGGGCCCCAGTGGACCAGTCAGGTGAATCTTTGCTGTTCTGTGCCTGTGTTCATGGTCACAAGGTACTTTTCTCTCAACTGAAACCAACAAATATGATGCATTTTTGTTTCATTTGGTTGAAACTTTGATATGCTGTAACTGTTGGATTGTTGTAACTATTCAAATGAGCTGTCTGTCTTAAAGGGTCCAAACAAAAGCATATCTTGTGTGCAATGTCTGTGTAACAGAGACGACTTCTGAGGAGGCCCCAAGTTTGGATAGAACGAATCAAACGAGTTGTGATTCCTCTTTGACTGGTGAAGTCACCACCAATGAGGACACCAGTCCTACCTCTCATGGTGTATCTGACCTCACTCAAAGAACAGGTAACAGGATTGTATTAAATGTTTACACGTCTAGCTTCTATTGATTCCATGAGATCTTCATCTTTGTCAGAGTTTGGGGAGCAGCTTCCTGTGAACATGGGATATTTCAGGCTGTGGTTTATCTGAGCCCATTTTTATTACTTATGGTCCCGAAGTCTTCTATAGAGCTTCCAGTAAGACTTTGAAGGTTCACAAATATAGTAGTACACTCTTACTTAATGTATCAATTAACCAGAATCTAAGTGTTAGTTACGTACATTAATCAATCATATCGGTATGCGTATTTCATGCAGTTACTATATTTGTTCATGATTCATACATGAGTAGTAACTGATTTACTAAATTACTTATGCCCCTTTAAGTAAACAATTGACTTGATGGGGCACAAATAATGTAGTATTATGTTATTACGTTTGTATTAATTACCCACAAACTAAGTCTTACATTCTGATCTCATGTTTGTTCATCATTAATGAGTTGTGACGCATGTTTTATCCCAAGCAGTTACTATATTTGTTATTATATCTGTTCATTTTGCAAATCTTTGTGAACTACTGAAGGAACCAGAAATGAATAACACAAGTGAAATACTGATCTCACATTTGTTCATCATTAATGAATCGTGATGCGCCCTTTATCTCAAGTAGCTAATATACACTCACCTAAAGGATTATTAGGAACACCTGTTCAATTTCTCATTAATGCAATTATCTAATCAACCAATCACATGGCAGTTGCTTCAAAGCATTTAGGGGTGTGGTCCTGGTCAAGACAATCTCCT